CTAGTTGGGGTTGATGCCCTTGAAGTAGGCCTCGATGCAGGTAAGGTAGTTCTGGTTGTTGGTGTTGAAGATCTTGCAGTAGATCTTGACAAAGGTGTAGAGGATCTAGATGGAATTGTGGTTTTAGCAGCAGGTACTGTAGAAGTTTTAGCAACAGAAACTGCAGCCTTAGTAGCAGAAACCACGGGCTTGGCTGAGGAAACTGAGGTCTTGGTAGTTGCTACCATTGCCCTAGTTGATGGTATGGTTGTCCGAGAAGTGGGTGTCGACGGTCTAGATGATTTTGAAACTGTGGTCAATGTAGGTCGTCCAGTAGGAGTTACAGATCTAGATCCCAGATTCCCTGATGATGAGAACCTCCTAGTTCCCCCAACGGAAGAACTAAACCCAGGGGAAGAGGCTGGTTGTTTAGATACTAAGTTGCTTCTTCCAGCTAGTTCTGACAAGTTCCCTGATGATGAGGGCCTTCTAAGTCCACCACCTGAAGGGGTCAACCCAGGGGAGGAGGCTGGTTGTTTAGATACTAAGTTGCTCCTTCCAGTATGTTCTGACGGAGGATTTGCCAACTATTAACAACGAAACAAATACAAGAAAAATTATTTTCTGACCATTAGCATGAAAGAAAAACAACAAAATCACACTATTATGAACCATATGTTAAAGCACTGTCATGGACTACTTTGAACTTGGAACTAACAAATAGATACAGAGCATTATACACCTTTGATTTTATCTATATAAAAAATATTATCAATTTACTCCGTGGAACCGACAAATCTGTTTTTATGAAAGAAATTTATGTAGACAGAAAAGGGGTAAGGAATCCTCCTAAACAAAGTAACAGAACAGAAAAACAAACAATGAAAAAGAAAAAACCAAAGTAATAGAGCTTCATTCCTCAACATTAACATATCTAATAGTGGAACCCCTTCAAAAAGGCCCCGTGTTTCCTACCAAATAGACTGTGAAGCTTGGACACCTTTTTTTTTGAAGGGTTGCAATGTAGTACACATTGCAAATTTCCACAAAATTTAGGCCTCTTTACTTCTACCTAAATCATTAAAGTAATTCATCAATTTGGTCTAGGGACCTAGGTCAAGGACACACCCAATATTATCTAAACATACCAAATATGGAATGCCATGAAGAAACTGCAAAAGGACAGTGAAAAAGAGAAAGAGAGGATACTTAAAGCAATGATCCTGTTATTAACAAATAAATTAACCAAAGCATGTCATGGAATGTTGGAAAACATCAAAACAATGAGCATGAAGTTTGTAGCCCAGGGAGTCACTGCCAGTGGGGCCCGTGTCTGCCAATTAGCTACTTGTAATCAGGCACCAATAACTGAAATCATGCAATAATTCACAAAATATACTTCTCACCCCTCCCTAAAATCATATATTTCTGCTTAAGTTCATCAGGCATAATGAATAATGATGATATTGCTAACAGACGAACTTTCATCAAAACCAGGAGTTTACCAGGAAATGTACCATTTTGTTAATCAGTAAAAACCAGAAGTACTAGACAAAATCTTTAAATTACCATATAATGATAAAATAATTGACATAATCCAAAACATCCAATAAAATTCCTTACTCTAGTTTTTAATGATGTGGGGCGTAAAGTTAGAGCCCCAAGCTGACTCATAACAGTTTTTGTAGATTCCATCTCCAAAGAAGGAAAAAGGGGAGTCCCAGGTGGGGTTAGAAGCCTGAAAAGAAAAAAAAAAATATGCTAAGCCCCAATCTGAACATTAATCATTCTGCTCAGGTAGCCAAAAATGCCATGCTATCTTAAATAATGTAAAACCATGTCCGGATATTAGTGCCTGTTAAGTTATTTATTATTAGCCCATGCTTCAAACACACAGCATCGACGCAAGAACCTGGTTAAAGTCAGCAATTTCAGATTTGGATGCATGATAAGAATGAGGTCAATAACAAAAATAGCAACAGTGATACAGTCCTACTAATAATTTATGATTAAAAAATAATTATTAGAAAGAAATATCAAAGAAAGGAACTACGAAGACACATTAATTGTTAAGTTGAATAAATTGCCAAATTAATTAAAAGGCATTTTGCAATTGTCTAAAGTGCTGAATGCAGATGGATCTGTGATTTCTAACAATTTGGCTGTTTTTAAGCATGGGAACAAGAGCAACTACCCATCAGTTTTCAAATACATTAGTCATTATCTTCTAGACTCTCTGTTGCGGAAATAGAACATGAGACTTTACAAACCTAGTCAGTATCATAATGATGATATTAAAACAAGGGAAAATCTATAAAGTGAGCACGTCAATTATGTGAGGTCAGGAAAAAATGTCAAAGACTCTGGTCACAGATACCAAATTATCAAAACAGTTTTTTATGCTCTCATAAAATTTTACCAAAGATTTATTTAGATATTTGGTAAGGGAGCGGGTGAATTAACAAATGTTTGTGAGAGAACACAATCAAGTAAGGGCATTCATATTTACAATTATAAAAAGTGATTATGTAATTTGAGATAAAGCTTAGTCCACCATAAAAATTCAATTATAATCTCAGCAGTCTAACTCAACTCATTCTAGTCAGTTTTCCCCACATTTTGGTTTTTCCACCACAAATTTAACTTAATTTTCCATTTCATATTAGTAATTGCAAAGGATAGTTATAGCTTCAAAGTTAAGGTGATGTTCATTACAATTGCTTCCTCTGCGAGATTTACATTGTAGAGCAGATCTATTGCTACATTATTAGAGCTGATATCAAGTACAAAGAGTTGTTAACTTATCATTTTTCACAAGAATAACCAGAAACCACATTGTAGATGTTTTATCCAACAAAAAGGAGGAAGAAAAACAAACTACTAAAATGACATAGTTGCACTGGACACAGCAGACACAGGTTAAGAATTAAAAAAAAAATAGTTAGAAAGACAAACAGAATATACCAGTCATAATCATTCTTATCATTCTCCGAATTGAGAAAATCATCAGCACCAGTCTTTCGTACCAGCGCCGCCATGGAAGACGGAACGTTAAACAAGGGAGAATTGTCTGGATTTGAGCCTGAAACACGAAACACATAGCGAGTGAAAAAGGGAAACACAACATGTCACACCGTGCAAAGGACACAACCATTCCGCAGTTGTTGGCGCTAAAATTAACAAAACGGTATAAAAAAAATCAATGAGTGTTGTCGACGGTGTTCATACCCAACGCGGCTGCACCGTCAAAATCCTCGGCGGCGCGAAGCATGAGATCGCCACGCTCCTTCTCGCGGCTCCTCATTTCCAGGAACAACGCGAGTTCGTCGTCCCTTTCCTTGGCGCGCACAGAGGACCTGAGAGCCCCCAATTGCTGTTGCCTCTGCTTGAAGGCGTCTTGCATTTTGGATTCCGGCGCTATGAAGCTCCGATTCATCTCAGAAATGGCAACGACAATTAGGGATCGATGGAGCGAAGAAGAGAAAGAAGAGGAAAAAGAAAAAGAAAAAGAAAAAGAAAAGCCCCAAAGAAGAGAAGAACCTAACGGAGTTCCCCCATTCACCTCAACAACCACGCACCAACCGAACGCATCCCCGTGAACCAAAAATAGAAATGAAATTAAAATTTAAAAAAGGTAAATAAAATAAAACGGGCTTCGGTTGGAAACAGTTGCGGAAAAAACAAAGTGCCGCGGCGTTGGGTTAGGTGGAACGCAAAGGCATGGAGGGTGGAATGAAGAACGGAATGAGGGCATTGGGGTTCCAGAAACTTCGATTGAGGGAGTGGCATTCAGAGGTAATAAAACGCAAGTTTGAAGATGGAGGGAGAGAAGAAGAAGAACAGATGCTGCTTCTGCTGCTCTTTCTTTTTAATTTCTATCACTTAAAGCCTACGTTACACGGTTGATGGATTGGATGAGTTGGGTGAGTAATCACCGTTATACCCTCTTTTTTATTATAATATGTTCCTCTTTTCCATTCTTTTGCCAACGCTGACTTCGCAACTATGCACTCATCATTCATGCAACCCCCACATCCCAAACTTCTCTCGCGGGACAATATTTTAGGTATTAATTAAATTATATTAACTACAACTAAATGATTTGCCGTTTCCAAAAGAAGTTTCTTGTTTCCATATAAATTTAAGGCCTACGTTATATAAGATGCTTATTCCACTCTCACACCCAACAATCTTTTTGCATTTACTTCCTTGTGGCTAACGTCTTCAGTTGGTAACTTTTTTCTGTTAAAGCAAGAAAAGAAAAAACCCACTAATGTAAAAAGTCTACCAAGAGAAAAAAGAGTACAGAATTCAATAAATGATGTGAGAAATTTAGGCGCTTAGTTAGTTATTGGTGAAAGCCAGCCAAGCCAACCCTTTTCATGAGATTCTCATTGGAGCAGTTAATTTGGATAACAAAAACAGGCAACAATCATGCCATGCATTTAAGCAACTTCTGTTTCTTCATTGATACATCAGAATTTGGTTCGTTCGAAAATCTCTCTACTACATGAATGAACACGTTGCTTATACATTTTATCGTTCGCCAGTGTTTCACCCCTTATCCATCCAGATTCCATTTCAAGAAATGAAATCGAAATTTAAGACTACATTTCACACTCAAACAGATAATATCTCGTATACGAATGGCCCTACTATTATTTCATCAAATTTAAGATGAGAGTAGTTATCAATTAGCCTTTGTTCTTAAACTTATCTGTTTGTCTGTTTCTTTAATAATTTGTACAAAAGCTTCTCTCATAATAACTGACTGACATTATTTTATAATTTAATGAATAACACGATAAAATTTCGTAAAATAACTCAAGAAATTGTAAGATCGCTGCCATGGATCACATTCGTATTAAACAACTTCCACTTTTAATTTTGAGTATCTGTATGATTAGAAAGTAAAAACAAACTTCCAAATACCCCGAAAGTACTTGAGTTTGACGCTACAAGCCAACTCCTGGTAATTGAAAATAGCGAATGGGGATCAATATACAACAAGAAAAACATGATTGATTCGAACTTAGAAGTTTTAACATTAGTTGTTTTTTTTTTACATCAGAATTAACAATCAAATGTATTTAAATTGTCTTTGGGACATGCAGATTTTGCAATAGTGCCCGAATAAAATTCACATTCGTTGAACAACAGGGGAAGGGGATTAAAGAATGTACAATTCAATTGTCAAAGGCAGATGACTAAGCGTCATCTGCATCACTTCCACCATGTGCTTCATGGCCGACCCAATAATTGCAGCTATCAGGACCTGACACCTTGTACCTGGCCATAAGTAAAAACATGTTAAGTCCACCAGATACTTGTCTTCCAAAGAACTTCATGTATAAAGAGTGTTTTCTCAGTTCTCACACAACATTTCTCTTACCGTTCAAGTACAGATTTTCCTTCCTTGTACTTCTGGCTTTTTTCATGAGCTGTCTCCTGAAAGAAGCCCAAGTGGTAACTGCTAAATTACACGTACAAATAGAAAAAATCGTACTCGTGAAACAATTATAAATCTTACGAAAACACAGTTATAAATCTTACGTATTTCCAACCCACAATTGATCCACACCCCACACAGAAAATGTCAGCCACAGTATGCATCCCAGTGAGCATCTGTCTGTCCTCGTTTTCTCCAGCAGTTACATTCACGCTGTAAACGAATAAAATACATTAACTGCATCTATAAACAGAACCAACTATAAAACATAACGTTGCTAGATCTTTGGACATTCAGAAGCGAGAAGCCATGAATAACAAAGACATCTCTTCCGCATAACACTTCGGTTACAAGCTACAAGATCTACATTCACCTAAATGTCGGTTGATTAGAGTGCAGCTATGCATTGTTCTTGCTATGTAGCTGCGATGCACATATGACTTCTATTGCCAAGTCATAAAGACAAGCATGAGTGAATTCACGATGCACAAAACAAGGACTACAATAGCAATGTGTAATGTATACACTCAAACAAGTTCTAGGACAAACAAAATGTCATTAAAAATCCCTTGATTTTTTGGCCTTACTTTTAGACAATGTAATTGGCCTACAACTATATTTCAAAATTTTATCACTAATTGTCCAGATACATTCATACAAAAAAGAGAACGTTTATCTTAGTTTCATTTAGAAATCACATAATGATACAAAAGGTTCCAAGATCAAGGATAACTTACACCTTACTGAAGAGATAAGCTTTCCCATGTCTGCTGTGGAAAGACTGGATAAAACAGCACAAGAAAAAATGGAAATCAGAAATATTTTATAGAAGAAGGCGAGATGTGAATAAAACAATGTGAGCGAAAGCTCAAAACCAATACAATGAAGATGAAAAATTATCACAATGGCATAACTGATGCTTTGGCCCATTAAAGTATACTACTTAACACAACAAATTTTCTTCAACCGAGACAATCGAGTGGGTTCAAATTCCATGTAAGAGGATAGGAGCACTTCTGCAAGTAAAGGGCCAAGTAGAACCAAAAGTTCTGCCACTCATAATTTATTTGCACATCTTACATTCACAAAATCATGAAGAATCAAAATCCAAATAGCTTGGCTTTTCACAGCTTCTCTAAGAAATATGCTGTACCAGCCAAACCACGGTGGTTAGCCATTAATTTAGAGAACATCTTTCTCGGTTCTCCTCTGGGCATACAGCCAACCAGAAAAATATCTACTTTCACCCTCTCTTTTTAAGCAAAGTATCTATTATCTAAGAATACGCAGCAACGAGTTAATTGTTCAGAGTTAAACCAGCAAAGAAAGGTTACCTCCACAAGACTTGTGTCCATTAACTATTACAATTTATATACAAAAATACAAAACACAACAAATGACACAACAAGTATCTTCATGATTTACAGGATCTTAGCAATTAAGTTCATTTGCAAAAAGAATTGGTAAACAAGGATGCAATCCAGTCAAGGATTAAACTGTTAATCGCTTGATCGCAAAGACAGTGATACCACAACAATAACCAACCCTCCTAAAAGCTTTAACTAATAGCCATTAGGTGAAAACTCATAAGTGGTTTTACATCTATGCTATAGCCTTGGCACATGATGTTTCCCCCAGGAAATTGGGAAAAAGAATAAGAAAAAATCCCAAATTGAGCCAAGGGAATACAATACAAGTAAACAATAACTAAAAGATGTATATCAAATCAATCATTAAAATTAACAATTTGTACTCTCAAAATTGTATGGACAGACTATCAGAGGAAAAGAAAAAGAAATGCTTGAGAAGCAGATAAAGTGACTATTCAAACCCACATTAGTGCACAAACTCATCATCCAGCGGATAAAATTAACAGGGATGAGATAAAAACCCAGAACGAAGTTAGAAAAGCAGAAAAAAAAGTGAGTCATAAAAGTAGGGGAAAGAAAGAAAATAAATAAAAGACAACCTTGGAAACGATGTCTTCATAGAGAGCAAGATGGGTACGGCAGTGTTTGCAGCTATAGACCTTCCCCTCGAGATGAACCACAAACAACCTCCCCATAGCTCAATTCGGAAAATTCTAGGCTGAAGATCAACCGGGATTTTCAGACGAAGGGTAAACTAAAGAAAGGACTCAGTCAAAGCGAAATCACGCAAAGGTCAAATTGAAGCGGTGATGATCTAGACATAGCGTCAATCGATGAAGGATAGAAGAAGAAAAAGAAGAAGATGAAGATTACGATGACGATGATGAAGAGGAAGGGAAATGAAAAAGGGAATCGTTGAAAATTACCTGAGAAGAGAAGAGAAGAGAAGAGAAGAGAAGAGAAGGAGAGGACTTGCAAGAAATGTGGAGAGAGAAACAATCAATCTTCGCTTTTTTCTGCGAAAAGAGAACCCGACAAGACGTGTCTGCTTCCCCCGTAATTATTTATTATTGTATTACGCTTTTCTCCTTTTTATTTCATTTTCTTTGTTTAATACAATGATAAAATACTAATGGAAGGGGAGAAAATTGTTCAAAGTGTAATGTTTAATGTTAATTAATATGTTTATGGTTATTTCTAATGAAAAAAATTGTTTATAGTTTTCTTTTAATATAATTGTAATGGCAGCGATTCACTTAAAAATAATTTAAATATTTTTAAATTAATTGCGATGAAATCAATAACCTTGTTAATGCAAGGTTCCTTTGCTTGCTTCACTTAACTACTTGCAAGACAATTTTGTTCCAAGTTCTTTTTCACTTTGATGAACTGTCACAGGATTATATTAAAACTTTAGATATTAGCTTAAGCAGTTTCAATTATTTTAAACTTATTTTTCAACAGAGTTTAACTTCCTTTTGTGAATACAACAAAAAAATATTTAAGACTATTACTCAATTGCAACAGCAGTTAAAACATTTACATGCTCAAATCTTACATTATTAAAAGATTAAAAATATTTTTTAAGAATTAAATATATTTTAATTTTATAAACATCAATGTAAAATTAAAATTCATCAATATCTTAAATTTTATATAATTTGATTCTCACATTTTAAAATAAATAAATATATATTTTTTAATTTAATTTAACTTTTTTTCATTTATTAAATAAATTTTATGTTAATATTTGAATAATTTATATTATTAATACATTTCAATTTAAATATTAATTTGAAATGTAAAAGAAAAATTTATATTATTAGATTAGGATGATATTTATTTAAAAGTAAAAATAATTTTGTCTACTAAGATGTTTTACATTTTTATATAGATGGATTTTTAAGCCAAAACAATATTGACAAAATACAACTATGTTAGTAAATCTTTGAAAACAATATTTCAAAAGATCAAAATAATATATTTAAAATTTATATATTTAATTATTCTCACTAATGCAAGATCAATATTCTCACTAATTGGATGCTTTTATCTGTTAAGCTAGTTTTATTCAATCTTCAAAGTACATAAATTAATTTAAAAAATATATTTCTTAATTATAATAAAACATCTTTAATCAACATATAAAACTAAATTGAAAGGACTACATGGAAATCACACACGAGCCATTTTGGACTGCATATTGCTTATGTTGAAGCTAACTCCTTTATGTTTATAAAAGAATTATTATACAAATGACTGGTGAGATAAAAAAAATACTGGACTATGAAAATAATATTTTTACTATCAAATTGAATAAAAGAGAATTATTTTTTTCTTCAATAATGAAACACCATAGATGATAAATGAAAGTAGAATAATGAGTTTAAATTTATCTCTCCTTTTTTTTTACACATCTAATGATGCTTAACCTTATTTTAATTTTTTTTTTCAAAACACTCAAGTGATTATCTGTGTTTTTGTTGGTTTTCTTTAACGGGATGTTGCTCCCTCCACCACCCTAAGTGATTCTGCACTTCTCCACTATTTTCTTTTATTCCAAAAATATTCTACACATCTCTACTATTTTTTTTATTCCAAAAATACCCTACACCTCCACACTATCCTCAACAATCTTTCTCTCTTTGCATTAATAGAGCATTCATATGGCTTACCATTTAAACTTATGATATATTACAAAATATAAAATTCAGAGGAAACTTCAATATTAGTGCTTCTACCACTTCCATCTTAAAAGTTAGATACAAATACAAAATAATAAACATAATAATATTAATAGTAAATAATATATTATTATTATTATTATTATTATATATTAACTTTTTAACGACGAAAGAACTAAATTTCGAATCTTTAACAAATAACTTTTCTTTCATATTTTAAGTATTTAATAATATTTTTATATTATTTATCTAATAAATTAAATACTTTATTCAAGTTATTTGAGTCAAACATGTCGATAAGTTAAAACATAATATAATGTTAAAAACTATAGATATTAACTGTAAAAAAAAACACACATATATATAAACATTTTTCTAGAAATTTAGAACAAAATTTTACCATTTATTAAGTAATTTGAAGAAAAAAAAATATATTGAACAGTGAAAATAAGATTGAATCAAACTTATTTAAGAGAAAGTGTAAATAAAATTTTGCAATATATCACAAGTTTAAATCTAAGTCATGTGAATGCCCCATTAATGTGGAGAGAGAAAGAGAAAGATTGTTGAATATAGTGGGGAGGTGTAGGGTATTTTTAGAATAAAATAAAATAGTGGGAAGGTGTAGAGTATTTTTGGAATAAAAGAAAATAGTGGGGACATGCAGGAGCACTTGGGATGGTGGAGGGAGCAACACCCTCTTTAACTTGGTACTTTGAATAATATGGATGTGCGGGTCTTTAAGCACATTGGGCCGGGCATAAACTTTATCCACCAACCAGTAATTCTAGCAAGGGTGTTGCTCCCTCCACCACCACCCCTTATCCCTCCACCTTCCCATCCTTCTACAATTTTTTTTACTTACAAAAATAACCTTTTTTATTTTTAACCCTATTTATTTACTTTATTCTGAAACCCTAATTTCCTACCTATTTTTACTCACTCATTTTCACTCGCCTAGCCCCATCCCCCACACTCCCAAGTCTCACTTTCTCTCTTTTCAAATTCCCACTCCCTCCAACTTTCACTGGATCCATTTCTTCTCATCACCTAACTCTTATTTCTCTTCTCCATATTCGTTTGGTTCTTCTTCATATTCTTGTCTCCATATTCGTTTGGTTTCGTGGTGTGGTGGTGTGGCTTTTCGTGGTGCGGCGATGCGGGGTGTTTGCAGTTATCATTCTACGGTGCAGCGTTTACAAACGATAATGAATATTTTATGACTAACAATAATGAATATTTTATGACTAACATCATAAAAAAATAATTTTATTGACATTGATAAAAAATTCTAAACGACATCAATGAAAACATATATCATTAATGTTGGTAAAAACAAATGATTGCAAAATAAATCTGGAAATTAACCACAGTCGATGTTAACATGAGAGAAATATTCATTATTGTTAGTAAAATGTGTTAAAGTATCTGTATCCCAATTCCAAAACGATAACGGAATAAAAAAATGAAAAATGTATACATGAATTAATTAAAAAAATTTCAAAAGTTCAAAATTCTTACTATTTAATTATAATTTAAAATTTTATAAATTTAAATGAACAAATTCCTCTATTAAAGTTTTAAAATTTCAATATTTAATTTTTTATTTACAATGATTATATAAAATGTTTCACGTTCACTTCACTGGATCGTTTCTTCTCATCTCAATAACTCTTATTGCTCTTCTCCATATCGTTTTGGTGCTTCTATTCATATTCATGTCTCATAGCCGTTTGGTTTCGTGGTGCGTGTTGGCTTTTTCGGGGTGTCGGCGATGCGGGGTGTTTGCACTGATCATTCGACGGTGCAGCGGTTACAAACGATAATGAATATTTTATGACTAACATCATAAAAAAATAATTTTATGGACATTAAAAAATTCTAAATGACATCAATGGAAACATATATCATTAATGTTGGTAAACACAATGATTGCAACTACATCTGGAAATGCAACCACCATCGATGTTAACAATGAGAGAAATATTCATTATGTTAGTAAATATGTGAAAGTATTTGTATCCTCAATCCAAACGATAACGTAAATAAAAAAATGAAAAATGTATACTTAATTAATTAAAAAAATTTCAAAAGTTCAAAATTCTACTAGTTAATTATAAGTTAAAATTTTATAAATTTAAATGAACAAATTCCTCTATAAAGTTTTAATTTCAATATTTTTAATTTTTTATTTAATGATTACTAAAATGTTTTCACTTCACACTGGGGATATGTTTCTTCTCATCTCCTAACCTCTTAATTTCTCTTCTCCATATTCGTTTGATTCTTCTGCAATTCGCCTCCATATCCTTTGGTTTTCGTGGTGCGGTGGTGTGCTTTTCGTGTGCGGCGATGCGGGTGTTTTGCATTGATCATTCCGCGGCCGGCGGCTACCAACGATAATGAAGATTTTTGATGACTAACAATAAGAATATTTTATGACTAAACATCATAAAAAAATAATTTTATTTGACATTGATAAAAATTCTAAACGACATCAAGGAAAACTCATATCATTAAGTTGGTAAAAACAATATTGGCAAATAATCTGAAATTTAAACCACAATCGTATGGTTTAACATTAGAGAAATAATTCATTATTGTTAGTAAAAAATGTGTTAAAAAGTACTTCTGTATCCCAATTCCAAAACGATAACGTAATAAAAAATTAAAAATGTATACATTAATTAATAAAAAATTTCAAAAGTTCAAAATTCTACTATTTACTTATAATTTACAATTTTTAAATTTAAATGAACAAATTCCTCTATTAAAGTTTTTTAAAATTTCATATTTTAATTTTTATTTAAATGATGATATAAACTGTTTCACTTTCACTGTATCGTTTCTTCTTCTCATCTCATATAACTCTATTTTCTCTTCTCCAATATTCGTTTGGTTTTTGCTTCGTCATATGCCTGTCTTTCATATCCCCGTTTGGTTTCGTGGTGCGATGGTGTGGCTTCGTGGTGGCGGCGATGCGGTTGGTTTTTTGACTGATCATTCGACGGTGCAGCTTTTACAACGATACAGAATATTTTTATGACTAACCATCATAAAAAAATATTTTATAAAAAATGGACATTAAAAATTCTAAAAATGAAACATCAATGGAAACATATATCATTAATGTGGGTAAAAACAAATGATTGCAAAATAAATCTGAAATTAACCAAAATCGATTGTTCATGCAGAGAAATATCATTATTGTTAGTTAAAATATGTTAAAAAAGTATCTGTAAATCCCAATCCAAAACGATAACGGAATAAAAATGAAATTTATACGTGAATAAATTAAAAAAAATTTCAAAAGTTCAAGTTCTTAGCCTATTTTAATTTATATTTAAAAT